ATTCTAGAAAATGTCACACCAGCACTTTACGCAGAAAAAATGTTTCAGTAATTTGTATGGTTGTTTGCACCTCACAAATAAAACAATTGCTTCAGTAACTGCTATGGGAATCGAAATTGCAACCCGAAGACTAATGAGTGCGAATGCGACCCAGGATACGAAACTGAGGACTGCAGAAGCACCTCTCCTTGAAATCACGCAGCGGCTGTCACTTCACTAGCACTTCTCATAATACTCCCATTCTACAACATATGATGTACGTTGTAAAATAAGCAATAATTTAAGGAACTTTTCATATCATCTGAAGGATATTGACACTCAATTTTAAAAAGATATTTTACGGGTGATCAGTTGGTTATGGGAACACTTTGGTAATTATAATCGTAAATTTATGGATGACTAAACTGTGACTACTTTGACTAGTATGATTAAAGTTGGGACCAATAACTCGCAATAATTTTCGTGCTTTTTAAGCTCGAGCGGCAAATCAATTTGCTAAAAATTTAACTGGAGCAAGCAGATTGCTCTCATTAATATGTTACGACGGGCAAAAAATATCACTTTGTACATAAGATAGTTTGTATGGGGACAAGTAACCGAATCTTTGTGCTCGGGGTGGGGTTTTTTTTTCCTTCAGACAAATTTTGACTTTTAAATTAGCAATTTTTGGCGGAGTTTTTTAAATATCATTCGAAAGGTATTGTTGTCCTGAGCCTAAGTTTGAAAAGACATTTTACTTTTGATCTTTTTTCTTAAAGTTATGGGGGTTTGGAGATTGCCATTTTGGCCAATTTGGGACCCTTAACGCGCGATATTTTTCGCGCTATTAACGCGTAAGCGGAGATTTAATCTGTCAAAGAAATCGTTCCAGATTGGTGGTTGAAAAACGCTTATTTGCCATAATTGATTTGTTTCAATGAGTGAAATCTATCCTTTTGCACTTTATATGGCGTGTGGGGTGATGATTTTCCTAAAAATTTCAAGTTTTAGAAAAAAAATTTCTACCTATTTTATTACGTTTAATCTTTTTATGTTATTACTGCTCCATAAACCTTAAAGGCAGTCGGAATCTTCAGGGCTTTGCCCTGATACGAGCAGTCTTGTTGTTCCGACTTTCGATACGAAAGTAACGGAATATTTGTGCTCGGGGTGGGTTTTTTTTATTCAGACAAATTTCGACTTTTTAACTAGCCATTTTTGACGGAAATTTTTTATGTCATTCAAAAGGTATGGTTATCCTGAGCCTAAATTTGAAAAAATATTTCACCTGTGATTTTTTTTTGTAAAGTTATGAGGGTTTAAAGATTGCCATTTTGACTAATTTGGGACAATTAACGCGCAATATAATTCGCGCTATTAACGCGTAAGCGGAGATTTAATCCGTCTTATAAACCGTTCCAAATTGATTGAATGAAGCTTATTTGCCATAGTGATTTGTTACAAGGAACAAAATCTATCTTTTTATTCTTTATATGGCGTGTCGGGGGATAATTTTCATAAAAAACTTCAATTTTTAGAAAAAAAAAATTTCATTTTTTTTTATTTCATTTAGTTTTTTTCTGTTATTACTGCTGCTCCATAAACATTAAAAGGCAGTCGGAACATTCAGGGCTTCGCCCCGATACGAGCAGTCTTGTTGTTATTTAAAAACTATAAAGGGCAGTTTTGTAATATTTTTTTTCAAACTCAGAGAAAAAAAAGAAAACATGATGGCGCCGTTTTCATCATTTAAATATTACTCGGACAGCGTTAGTTTGACACCAAACGACATAATTTTAAGCAATATCCAATACAAAACAGTTCAGAAAATCATGATAACGAGCAAAAGACAGTCCGATACAAAACATTCCAATTTTAATTGAAACTGTCAAAGACTAAGCTGACTGTCAATTTCTTATTTTCGTATAATATCCTACCCTTTGTTGGCAACCTCGCAAAAAGTTGACGTGAATGCGGCGGTCACTTTTTAGTTGTTTAGGTTGTTTGAACAAAGAAAAACTATCGGTCTACCAGCTTTTTAAAAATACTATTACTTGCGACTGTTTTTCAGACTGTTTTGAACCGGATAGGTTTATCTTCCATTTTCTCACTTTTCCGGACTGCTCTGAATTTTACTGCTTTTGTATGGGCTGATTCGTACCGACACACTGCACAACACTTGTGCGATGAAATTCATTTATATATATCAGCTTTTCTTTGAAACCACGTAGCGGTTGCCAAATGCACTTGATCGACATTACGACAAAATAACCATTACTTGAATGATTTTGTTTATCAGTTTAAGGATACTGACATTCAAAAATCACTTTCAAAGATATTTTACTCCTGTGATCATTTTTGTAAGGTTATGGGGACAAAATTAGCTTCTAATTTGACTAGTCTGTTTCTTGTTTGGATAATAAACGCGCAATATATTTCCTTCTACTAAATCGTAAACGGCGCATCATTTCACTCCAAAATTAATCGAAGCAAGCAAATTGCTCTTAATAATACGTTTTTACGTGCAAAATAAGTCACTTTGTACATTTTATATTTTGTAAAAGGATTAATAAAGAAAATTATTTTTGAAACTCTCCTATTACAAAATTAAAAATATCCAATTGTTGCTCTAAGGACATGGTCATGAAAAGTACAATTAATTGCTTCAGATTTCGGAAACTTGGAACTAATTTCGCAAACTTTTTTGTCATCGTAAGTTTCTATTAATTTTTGCATAAGAAAGAAATTTTAAAAAGACAAGTTTTGGGGAAAAAATCTTAGCAAATATCACTAAATTTTCTCGCATTTGTCATATTTTCCTTCAACCGCCATTTTCGGCATTGCAACATTTAGCGTAAATTACGACAAAAAATACAACTTGAAACTCATTTATGTTTAGTGAATTTCACCTTCAAAAAAATTTATATATTTCAGCACTACCTTGACATATATGCGAAAACATATGTATATTTATGAGCAGCTCCCCTTGAAACAACGCACCCGTTGCCACTTCACTTGCATTTGCCGTATTCTATTTTTTATCATTTGGCAAAAAGCACTACTTGAAAAATTTATATGTTGAGCGTTCAGTGAAATTCACATTTACAATACTCTACTTTGACAGAGCTGCAAGAAAAAGCTATCCAACCCTTGCCCCTTGCTATATGAAAACATACATTTTTAAACACATATTTGGGGAACAGACTTAAAAAAAATTTTATCTTTGCAAGTTTCGATTGATTTTTGCATAACGATTTTCCTTACAAAGACAAATTTTGAAAAAAAAAATCTAATTGAACAATTACCACTTGAATCAAGCTGCTTGAATCGTTCACGATAAAAAAGACCTACCATTTTCAGAATCTCTCTCTTAAAAAAAACAAGTGATTTTTCGGAATACTTCATTTGTCACACATACAGATATAGAATCCGCATCTTCAACAACAGCTGCTTTCTCTAGTTCTAGTTTAGCTTTCTGTTTCTGGAGCTCATTGAACAGTCTTTGAGCTTTTTCCAACTCATTTTTGGTATTAGTCATTTTCTTCTTGAGCACACCAGGCTTTGGGTAACTTGAGTCCAGGAACATTTTTGAATACAGATCTCTCTGACGACTCAAACAGTCGCTAGTCCGGAATAGAGCGTTCTTGTCAACCTGGGCGTTTACCAGCTGCTCAATTGTCGGATGATCTTTTCAAGCTAAAGATTGACTAAAGCTTGCCTACTTTTTGCTACAAACAACTCGCAAAAATAGAAGCGGAGTCGGCACCGAATCGGCGCGTTCTTAACGGGAAGCGTCCAAGTGAGCTCTTGTTGAAGTTTCTGATAGAACGTGCAACGTCCCCTGATGTTGTCTGGAAAAATTCTCGATAATTGCTAGGGTTCCTTTGATTCAGTTTCAACAAAAATTACCTAGAAAAAATAATTGATCAATAAGTGACCAAAAGTGACCAGGTGACTTAAAATGACCAGTTTGAACAGCCTGACTTGAATTTTCTCAGTTCTTAAGTGTCGATGAACGGAGTGAGTTAACAATTAATTAATAAATGATGCTAATTTGACGTTTCATTGACAAATATTTCACTTTCGCCGATCAAACAGTTCAGAAAAAAAACTATTTTTGAAAGATATATAAATAAATCGGTTAGAAAAAAATTTACTGCGAATTTCAGGTGGAAATTTTTTTATCGTAATATGCTTCAAATATTGAAAAATAGAGTGTGGTATTTGCATTTGAAGTGACAACGGGCGCCTGGTTTCAAGAGGAGATGCAAATATATATATATATATATATATATATATATATATATATATATATATATATATATATATATATACATATATACATATATATATAGATTCACCTCCCTTTGAAACCACGTATCTGCCGCCACTTCAATTGCACTTGTCATTTTTCACTTTTAAAAATTTGATGGGCATAACGACAAAATAAGCAAGCACTACTCGAGTCACATAAAATTTTCAACCAACCAAGTCTTTTATCTATCTTTGTTGAAAAACTGTTTTATTTTCTGAAGTTTAAGGTCAACTTGAAGAACTTCAATAGCCTGTCGGTGAAACGTCACGTTGTAGCAACTCAACCATTTGTCACTGAAACGTCTTGCTAGAGAAACTCAATTAGTTAACTAATATGTTTTTTGTTAT